CACAACGGGTCCGATTTCCGGCGGCGATTTGTCCTCCGGACGGCGGAGGGCGTCTAGCAGTGCGCTCTGCACGTCGCCCCCTCCGTCCATTCCTCCACGTCAAGGAGCATGACGGGCACCGTCGTCACAGGACGATGGNCCCCCTCCGTCCATTCCTCCACGTCAAGGAGCATGACGGGCACCGTCGTCACCGGACGATGGACGCGCACGTCATGCTCCTTCAGGGCGCACTTCAGGCTTTCAGCTAGGCAGTCAGCCTGGGCGCCCGAGCCCCGAACCTCCAAGAGTACGGCCCCCGTACGGGTCCGCCTGGTGCCCGCCAGTTGGACCCCGAGGGCCTTGAGGTCAACGGCAGCCATCGCAGTCTTTATGACCGCGGCGTACCGTTGACCCTCTTTCAGCGGACCAATCACAACCGCCTCCGTCTTCGGGACTTTGGCCCGAAGCTGGGCGGCAGTCGGGCCTCTCGACGGTGGCGGCGGAATCGGCCTGGGACCACTGGGGACCTCCACCTTGGGAGCTGCCCGCTCCACCTTTCTGGCCCCTTTACGCTTCACCACCTCCGTCCATGAGGTGGCCGTTGCGGGGGCTGGAGCATTTCCTGGTAGAGGAGATGGTGGAAGGGGAAGGACCGTGACGCTGGGTGGCAAGGGCACCACGGCGTCCACCAGCGAGCGTCCGGCGTCCGCTTCCTCCTTCTTCTTCCTGCTCCTCTTCTTCCTCCGCTTCTTGGCGGGGGCGACGGGCAGGCGAACAGCCGCAGACCCCTCGGCCTCGTTGAGCGGGGAGGCCGTGTTCCCGACGGCAATGATTGGTGGGCCATAAGTGTCCCACCAACATACCGTCTGGGACGACGCGTCATGGCTGGTCGCCGCACCACGTTCGTCCACGCCCGACCCTTCGCCGCCCGCAACCTTCTGAGGCTCCGTCTGCGTCGAAAAATCGACGTTCGGGATGTCCTCGTCCGGAGTGCGGGTCAGCTCCAGGTCGTGCATGGCACGAACGCTCCTGATGAGAGCCCCCGCAGCCGCAGCCAGATTGGCATGCGGGGGAACGACCGTCATCACCCTCTCTAGAAGGTCGGCCTGGTGGACCACCAGGGCCAGTCCGGCCGTAAGAACGGCCTTGGATCTGGCTTGGTCCAACCTTTTACGGGGTGTCCCGTCATCATGAAAGAGGTCGGAAGGCGTGATGTCCGCACACTTCCGCCTCTTCATCTCCGGAGCCCTACCGGGTGTATCCGTCACCGGGATAGGGGCATCCGGAGGAGTGTCCTCCAGGACAATCGTAAGCGGCTCGTCCACCGAGGGGGACACCTCCTTCCGCTTAACGCGGAGATCCTCATCCTCCCCGAGACT